CAGGAGTAGAAAATAAAAATAATAAAAAAGAAGTCACTGCCACGTTCCACTTCTGTCTTCTCATGCCCTGCTCGAAGAAAGTAACAACCACATCACAATAAGCCCACTCCAGACCTAACCAGGTCCTTAGCAAGCATGAAACTTCTGAGTGGGGACTAACACAGTTGCAAAAGAGAATTCAAATATTTAGATGAATAGGCGAAGTGAAAACTTAGCTGGTCATGAAAGCTGAAAGAAAACTGCTTTACCTTGGATACTCTGGGTGGTGCTGGCTGAGCCTATCCTGAATGACTCCTCTGCACTGCTCAAAAACTAAGCCCTCCTGCGGCATTTTGCACTGTTTTCTAGACCACCCACTCCGACGTGGATACACAAACCACATGTGCTAGGAATGTCTGCCCTGCACTTGAAAGCAATATCAGCATTACAACCTTATTACTTGCGCAGCCAGGCTTTTAATACAACTTACTTGTTTTATCTTTTCAAAACCTTTGATTCCTTAATAGTTTGTATGTAGTCTCTCTACTGGCCATTAGATGCTTAAAGATTTGAAAGGGGAATAGAACTGTTGGAAAAAAACACCATTATCAGAGTGAAAATATTTTTAGTGAATTTTTCCTCCCCTGAAGAGAATCAGCTTTATTTCTAGGTCTTAATAAAAAGATGTTACCGACAGCTTCACAAACCTACTATTTCCTAAACAGGACTCAGACCTTGAATTCTGTCTCCCTGTGAGCAATGATAAAAGGTAATCATTTATTCCTCACTGTGATGAGAAGGGTAAAGTTTACTAATGGAAATTCCAGCTTTATAGCATCAGTTCTCTGAAGGAACATAGGAAAATGCATGACCCATTTGATGTAACATTCAGGAAAGGGTTACTTCCAGTCAGAATTATACTGAATGATGATGCAAATACATTTTCTGCTGTATTCACAGACCTACATTTGACCTTGCTCAAATTTCCAGACTGGAAAAATTAGAAGTATATGAAGAATGAAAAACGCAAGATTATCACTTTGCAGTAGAATAAATCTGGCTGAGGTAAAACAGAATATAAATAAGATGCAATATGCAAACAAATGTTAAACAGACATTAGCATCTCAAACCATAAGACAGCTTAGATTTTTGTATGATGTTGCAATACAGCGCTCTCTCATCAAGTCAGCAACACAATTACAGCAGTGAACCAAAGAAGCTGCCACTCTGCGAGCTGTCACCCTACCCAGACAGAACTGCTGACCAGCAAATGGTGTTCTCTATGTTATATGTTAAGGACCACACCCAGCTACCAAGGGATCTCTTCTTTACCTTTTTTTTTCTTTAGTTCCCCCCGCCAAAGGGTATGGGTCTCACTGTGGTAATACTTCTCTTTCCTGTCTAGTCACAGTGGCATTTCTTGCTGCTCAAGTAAATGCAAGGCCCTTATGTCATTGTGCTTTGATGTTATTTTATCTGCTCACTCAGACACAGAGCCAGCCCTGTAAACGCCATTGGTTTAGCTGTGTTAATGCACTGATTAACTCCCAAGCACACACAAAAGCACTGCAGATGTACGAGTTTTAGTCCCCATCATCTGTTCGTAAGCCTTTTATGCCCAACAGTAAAGCTTCTTGGTAAAGAATAGCTTCCTGGTGTACACTACATTCTATTGTATACTGCTTAACAATTAAGAAAACTATTGAGGCTCATAAAAACCCATGCCTTGCACTTGTTAAACTTTGGAACATGTTTTGCACTACTTATTTTTGCAGTTCCTTCTAGCTCCTGCTATCGCTGAAAGTCTGACAAAATTTTCATCGTTAAGTCTCAACTTCAGTGCATTGCACTACAGTAAGCTGTGCAAATCAATGGACCAATGAGCAAACACAAAAATACCAAGTCCCTCTATAAACTGAAACAAGAGTTTGCTAAAAGATACACTGCTTGCCATTATCTGCAAGTGATAAAAGATAGGGTATCATGTGTATGAACAAAGACAGTATGAAGTAAATCAAACATCCTACCATCAGAGCAGCGCCTGGAGTAAGATAATGCATACAACAACTGAACAGGGCAGCTTTCTTTTCAGATTGTTCTACAGCTTTCCCATTAATTTTGAAACTAAGTAATGGGGCTTGAAATCAACAGGCTGTTCAAGAGACCCCGAAACACTAGTATAGCTTCTAAGAAAACAAGATGATACTTACCAAGTAAGGACCAAGGACCCAAAACAGATTGTGAACGTACTTTATTTCACTGTGAGATTGTGAAAGAAGGACAATGGGTCAGGCAAAACCCAAGAACTTGTAATTTCCTTCCCCCAGACTAAAAAAAACTTCAGTAGAAATATACTGGGCTCTCCAAACGCACTGTACGGTGTGTGCTCTGCTTCTCATACTTGAAAGCACAGACATAACCTAAAAACACACAACCAATGAAAAGGAGAGATAATCAATCATCTCTTACAATCCAAAGGCTAAAGACTGAGCATGGGTTTTGCTTTACCTTAGAAGACTCTGCTCACTTCAGTGTATGCCCATTCCTCCTTTCTTGCTTTTTCTCTTTAGCATGGACTAAGATGGCCTTCAAATCTAGATGATACTGAAATTTTTGTAAAGCCTCTCAGTGGATTCAAACTTCTAAAAAGATATTAAAATTTGTCTACCCAATCGGACATCCACTTTCTGAGGTGAAAAGTTAGTGGTGAGATGAAAACTGTCCGTACTATTGGATGCAACTACTGTTCTAGTAACAGTGATTCACTTATGCTGAAAGTTATTTTTTAGGTATTGCAACTTACTGCTAACCTCAATGAATTAAATCAAATTCTCACATACAACTTCGTTTTAAACAGCTTGATGTTAAGTAAAACTCCAAAACATTTATTGCCAAAACACTTTAACCCATCCCAAAGGCCAACGCTCATATATGTTAAGGACTTGGAGAGTATCTTATTATTCTTTCTTTAAGAGAAATATGAATGTCTGAAATTAAGTGAACAAGGATTTATTTTGTTTTTGCATACAAAATTAGATGAAAATAGCTAATTTATTTTTTTATTTAGATCAACACTTAGTAACTCTTATTCTATGAGAATTTTGTGAAAAAGTCAACACGTGCACAAACACACATCCCACTGAAGTCTATTTTCTTCCCTCTCCCATCAAATTAGAAAATTTAAGAGTTTAAGGATGATCTACAATTTGCATGAAATTCAGCACTAACTTGATACTGTAATTGCTGTCATCTCCCTTTTATGCCTATTCTCCTATTTGCTGTTTTCTTCCACCCCTGTTCTCAGTGTATAATAAAGTTTATCTGCTATTTTAAGGGTAAAATGATTCATTTCACCATTTCTAACAAACCAGTGCAATAGTCATACTAGAAGGA